ACTGCTCCCGCCTCCTCCATTTTTGTGCCCGACTGGTCCACCAGACTTTCCTGTCAGTAAGCAGTTTCCGTTTCATTTCGTTCCTAATAGTTCCTCTGGTCAATCTATTGACTGTATTACCTATGAACGCATCGCCTAGCTTTGAGAAACCTCGGGATGGCTATTGGATGAAATTGAAAAAGGACACGAAGAGCTTTGTGAAATGATGTCAGGCTTGCAGGCACCATACTCCCCTTGATAGGCACTTTGAATAAGGTACATCTACGGTTACCTGTGAGCTTACTTTGGCTCGGCCGTGCAGTCGTTAGTGTTCTTGCAATCCTCATATTTTAACGGACGTCAGCACCTGCAATAACTAAGTCACTAGATGTAGATTATCCCGGCCCACTCTCTATTGGCCTGCATGTTACTGAAATGCAGTGGACTGGGCACCCTCCTCCAAGAGACGGCTTACCGAGCTTAGGTTGTCGAGTAACTTATTTCATTGTAAGCAATCTGAGCGACGTACTGACTGCACTGAAACGGCATGAGGGTATGAATAGTATATACAGAAATTTATGACATCTGGACTCCATCAAACAGTCATCGCACGCCCGGAAAACCATTAAACGTCCACTTCACTTTGTCTGGAACCATCAGCAGTGCGCACTTAATCTGCCGCTGGGAGTTTCTAATCCACGACCCTACTCTCACGAGCAATGGAAACGACCAACATGACTAAATTGCTAGCTTAGATAAAGCGCGGTTCATTTCCTAGCCTCCGGAAGCAGATGGAATGCGCACGGTTGACGATTCACGAAATGATGAAACGATCGCTCAGCGCTTCTCTGAACGTGAACATGTGACGTTTCCAACCTACACTAGTTAGGTCGCAACGAGACTGGACCTTAACGTGGTGCGACGGTTTACGTACCTCATTGACCCATTGAGCTATACCGGGTGATGCCTCCGGGCACCTTGAGAGCTTCTACCAGGTTGGTCAATAGTGAGAGCTCAGACAAACTCAGTCTCCTGGTCCTCCAGTTTCGGGGTTTGAAATCGGATGGCGTCCATTTCTGTAAAACTATATCATTGCCACCTCTCCGCTGCCTTGCGGACAGGCTTTTGAGTTAAAGGCTTTAGGTGAGGATCCTAATCGTCCTCCTGTCTAGGTCTGGGCACCCTGGCAGTATCTCAGCCCACATACAATCATGACATTTTCTTCAAACATAAACTTCATCCTGCATCGGTCATTGCGCAGATTATCAAGGGTCGCCTTATCTGCTGCATACATCAGATAAGGTAAGCGAAAACATGCTACTGTTGACGCCTCCCTTCTTTCTTTTCCACCTTTTTCTCTTACTTCCATCCCGACCCCCATTACTAACCTTCCTTCTATAATTCCCAGCTTAATTGACAGCAACCGAAGTGTCAATGGAGTAGAACCATCTGCAGCCACCATCCCACCCCACCTACCGGACGCCTATCGGCAAAAGTCCCTTATAAGGCCACGCTATCCCGTTTCCATGGCGACATTCAACGTTCGCACTCTAAGACAAACAGGTCAGCAGGCTGCACTCGCACGCACCTTAGACACACTGGGTATTGGTGTGTTGTGTGTCCGAAACTAGGATCAATGACTCTAACGGGGTTATTGAATTGACTGCACCCGGCTTATCCTCTCGTTATTGGTTACACGCATCCAGAGACACCGATGCAGCACTCACGGGTCAAGCTGGTGTAGGTATCATTCTCAGCTCCAAGGCTGGGCCATCGTTGGTTGATTGGATTCCGGTGAACAACCGTTTATATGCAGCCCGTTTGACGACGTCAGCTAAGGTTGATTCACGAAGTAGTACAAAACGCTGTTTGTTTGTGGTTTCCGCTTATGCTCCCACCGACTGCAGTTCTAATGCTGTCAAGGACACATTCTATGACGAACTGAACGCGCTACTACGCAATGCTACTAGTTCAGATATTATAGTACTTGCAGGGGATATGAACGCACAAGTAGGGCGTCTGAGCTCTTCAGAAGCTTAGCTGCGTGGTCAATATGGGCTTAACTCAGAACGGACTGACAACGGTGAGCGTCTGCTGCAACTGTGTGCGGAGCACCAGTTGTTTCATAGTAGCACTGCTTTCAGACACAGTGGGTGCCGAAGTGCCACTTGGCGTCCTGCTGTAGCTGGCCAGCGATGGACCCGTATTGACCACATAGCCATAAGTTACAGATGGCGTGGTTCCATTCTGGATTGCCGCTCGTACTGGAATACCTACGTCGACTCTGATCATGCCTTGGTACGCTGTCGTTTCTCTATGAATTTTACCGGGAGGCACACCAAGCGTCTCCTACGATTGGCAACAGAGAAACTGTCTCAGTCCTCGGTCAGGCAAGCCTATCAAGACGCACTGCATACCGAACTTCCGCTGTCCTATCCTAATGACACTGAGCTTCAGTGGAATAGGATCTCGACCGCAATGCACGACGCAGGAGCATCTGCTTGTGGCACTATCCATCGTCATCGCACCAGTCACTGGATATTCGAGAGGTCGGTGAACCTGTTGGAATCTAGAAGACACCTCCCGGCTGGCTCTGAACACAGTGTGACCAGACGGGCTATTAGGGGTGAACTAAAGCAGAGCCTACGTGCTGACAAGGAAGCCTGGTGGATCAGTCGGGCTCAAGAAATGGAGGAGGCAGGAGCAGTAGGCAATTACCGCAATCTCTTCTAGCTGATCCGCACCACTGGTCCCAGAAAACCAGGCGTCAGTGAGACAATCAGAGACAGCGCGGGTGCGCTGATACACGATAAGGAGCGCTGTAGGTTTCGCTGGACGGAACACTTTCAAGATCAGTTCAGCTAGCCCCCTGCTCCCGGACCTCTTCCCACTCAGGTGATGCAGGACGAGCCATGGACGGTTAGTTTAGAGCTTCCGTCGGAGGCCGAAGTCCGAAACGCGATCACATCCCTTAATCGTTTTCGTGCCGCTGGCCCGGATTCCCTCCCACCTGCACTATTTAAGGATGGAGGTGAGGTCCTCTGCAAAGCACTGACCTTATTCCAATGTATCTGGAAGGAAGTGTCCCGGCTAATTGGAGCGAATCGATTATAGTGGCAAAATACAAGAAGGGCAGTCGCACAGACTGTTCTAACCGCAGGGGTATTAGCCAGTTGTGACAAAATTATTGGCCTCGATTTTCGTACGTCGCCTCACTGCGGAACGGGAATCTCGGATTACGGAAGAGCAGGCCCGTTTTCGCCCAGGACTTGGCTGTATAGACCATATATTCACTTTGCGGCAGGTGCTAGAGCAGCGCCACGCATACCGCAGACCGACAATAGCTGTGTTCCTCGATTTCAAGAGTGCGTTCGATTCAGTCGATCAATCCTGTTCGAAATACTTGCGCGGAAAGGTGTTCCCACGAAATATGTGAACATCCTTCGTGCTCTATACTCGAACACTACAGGCCGCGTCAGGGTCTATGGTGCCCTATCGGATAGCTTTTCGACTACAAGTGGCGTTCGACAGGGTTGCCCGATTTCCCCGTTTTTGTTCAATTTCGTCGTGGATGCTATCATGGAGTGTTCCCTTGCGGAATCTCACGATGTAGGCGTTGAAGTGCTGCCTGGTGAACGGTTAGTTGATCTAGATTATGCGGACGATATCGTCTTGCTTTTCGACGATGTTGGGGCGGCACAATCAACCCTGAATAGCCTGTCTAGAATAGTCCCATTATTTGGTATGCACTTCGCACCTTCAAAGTGCAAAGTGTTGCTGCAGGACCACCAGTCACTTGATGACCCCTTGACGCTTGCTAACGAGGAACTCGAGGTGGTTGATCAATTCACTTATCTCGACAGCTGCATCAGCAATGATGGGCGCATAGAAACTGACGTGAGCTCACGCATTGCAAAAGCCAGAGCTGCCTTTTGGAACTTGCGGCATCTTTGGCGACAGAAGGGAGTTTCCCTCCGTCTGAAAGGCCGTGTATACAAGGCCACAGTGAGGGCCGTTCTGCTCGATGGTAGTGAGACTTGGCCCCTTCGGCCTGAAAATCTGAGGCGCCTTCAAGTCTTTGATCATCGTTGTTTGCGAAGCATTGCTGGTGTCGGATGGCACCAGCGTGTCTGCAACGATGATGTGCGTAGGCGAGTACTAGGTGGTGATGATACTGCTAGCTCCCTAGAACAACAGATAGCACTGAGTAAGTTGCGTTGGCTCGGGCACGTGCTACGTCTGCCTGGTCACCGCTTACCTAGGAGGGCCTTGTTTAGTCTGCCAGATATAGGGTGACGCAAAGCTCGAGGACAGAAGTTGACCTGGCAGCGAGAGGTGAAGTCACTGACGACCAAACTGGGTGCCGTCTCGCCTTCCGGGCTGGAGTCCACGTGACTCGCCTTGTGCTTGGCTAGAGACTTTACAGGACATGGCTCGCAACCGACACCAGTGGCGCGTCTGCTGCCGTCTCCTAATCGGGTTGCCTGTTTAAAGTGTGTTTGGTGCTGAGTTATCTGCGGGGTAATGGCTGATTATGATGCGGGGTAGTGAAAGCCGCAAGGAAGCTGTCTCGCCGATGCAGCCTTATCTTTCAACTGTGTTAAGTGATACACTGGTGACTACATTTGATCGCAAGTGAGGGTCTCACCTTGTTTGCTAAGAGTTGTTTAGTTGGCGAACGTGTGAGTGACAGTTATACTCTCCTGCCACCAAATGACATTGCTGTACACCAGCCAGCGTTTCACTCATAGTCTGTCTTTGGTGACTGAGTTTCGATGAAACGGAGCTTTCGGCTTCTCATCCATCCTCCGATTGGATTGACGGTGACACATGTTTAATCCCTAACGCATTAGTGGCTACCCAGGCACTTGGATGTATTTCCATTAATCACGTATGGTTATTCATATGGTTACTAGATTTCCGCTTGATAATCTGATGTTAATCATCCAGTATTTATTACTCCGTGTATCATTTTGTCCCGACATAGGCGATGTCACTCCACTAACTTTTATCTCCCCATAGTTCTCACCAATCGAAGAGCGGCTTCCGGTGGACGTTGTTCTCCGTCCTTTTTTCTCTCCCCAAAATGCACCGCACCACGGCCGCTCTATTGTCGAAGTGTGCCAACCTCTCTCTTGTGACTGCCTTTCGTTCCTCTTCAAGACAATGGCACTTTGCCTTCTTCCGCGGAATCTTGGTGGATGTGAGGCACACTGCGTTCTAATTGATTGCAGCGCACAATTCAGTGCCTCAAAATTCGCTATCTTTTTGAGGAAGTTTATCCCAAGTCAAATATGTACCTCGGATTTGCGTTATCATCTTGAGGACACCATATCGAATGTGAGTTGCATGTGGCGTCTATCACAATGTCTCAGATGTTAGCTAAATTACAGATTGTGGAAGTTTTTACTTACCGAGAATTGACTTTGGCTCTTCATGGGATTCGGGATATTTTGTTTCGAAGACCAATATCATGTCTGTTTATTCAGCAGATAGACGCCTTCTCGGATATAGAAAAGCTTGTCTACAAACAAAGTACACGGACGAATACGGAACACGTTTTCTGGGCTAATCTAGTAAGACGCCTGATACACAAATTCAATCTTCTGTGCATTGCTACCACGCGATTCACCCCACTATTGGAGCCACAAAAAGGTTCCAATGAGGGCCATTCCCACATAACCACTGGTCACACAACTTCATTTTCCCCTTATCCACCAGAGACCATGTCCTCTGACTGGTCTAACCATGTTACCCACAAGATACAGTTCACTATTTGTCCCGATCGCTTCATGTCTTTCGTTCGATGCGGTTCCCTATCCCGATTCTCATTTGACGCGCAAGGCTAGTTTGAAAATCTTTAGTTCTTCGAGTGTTTTTACGGACTTGTGTTACGTTTTCAACATAAGAGGTTCTATCAAGTGATCGCATCAACTCCAAAATACATGTTGTCTCAGCCGACCTGCCACTTTATATGTTACACACACTTCGTAAACGGGATGTTTTCAGGACCAAGCTGGTGCGACTCCGATCCAAGTGGGGTGTTTCATGAAAGTCGCAGCGCTTGATGTCACTTAAACAAATAAGATATCAAATTTCATCAGTTACTCAACAGGCTCTTTAAGACGCGACTCATTTTGCTTTCAGCGACTGTAGCTTTGATGCCTTCAAGTAGCGGTCCTACCGACAACTCATCCGTATTATACATGGACAATGATATGGATATTTTGATCGCTGCTGCTATCACGAATGTTTAGTGAACAGCCTATCAAAAAGCCCGAATTGTCTGAGAGGTCGCAGTTTACCAAAACCCTAATGGCGATAGATTGTTCCAGCTGTGCACTGCCCACAACGGCATAGCCCTTCGGCGCAACCATTTGCGCGTTTCAATTAGCACCCGCCGAATGACGCACAACGGTGAACTCAAAATGCGCATACTGTTGTCAGCCTTAGGTGGTGCACGTTATTTCAACGTTGTCCATCGATTCGGAGCGCGTATCTAGGCTCCTGTCGCACCAAAGTGCTTACCTCTGTCTCCCTCGGTCATCCTGCCTCAGCGAGTGCGGGGCAGCACCAGGTAACGGTAGATGAGCCAATACCTTAACTCATGGTGTACCAAACATAGAAAAACGAACTAGCAAACGGCTTCAAACGGAAGATCCCACGGTATCTGGACACACAGAGGAACATCAATCTGGCGCCCGAAGACCACGCTTTTGGCTGTACCACTCGAAGCGATGTGGATGAGTCAGCGAATGGTTCCTAACAATAGGCCCGACAGCTGCAAGACACTCAGGAGGTATAAAGACAGATATTAAAAGGGGAAACAAATGACTGCAGGTAGGCACATGGCTCGCCATAGCCATTGTGAGGTGGAATGAGAATCCATTACTGTAAGAATAGACAGTTGCAAGCGTTGAGTGTTAGCCTGTGAATTGGACGCTTGATACTTGTAGCTTATTTGTCGCAGATAAACTGATTTTGAAAATCGGCGCATTTACATCATAAATATATGCGCTTTTCTGTTTGGTTTGACGATAGGTGCTGCCGAAATTGAAAAACGAAGAAACACAGGTTGCTATTGGTTTAATAGGAGGGTTGCTTATGCGTAGCGTTATTGGTGATATCGTTGTTGACAGAGGCGCCCGTTTCTCGATGCGATGCCCGATGTTCGGAGTACGCTGTTTTTTTGGAAGTCGACACAAAGCCCTTCCAAAGATATTACGTACATTGCTGCTTTCATCAATTAACGTATGCGCGGAGGTCTCTTTCGTCGGGCATCAATCTCCTAACTACCAGTACAGTTCGCCTCTGAGGTGACTAGAAGTATCGGTGGCTTTTGGCGGCCTCTGAAATGTACAAGACTGATGTTGTCAGGGCCACATGAGTTGTCTCAATTCATCTGAGAAGGCGACAAAGACTAGAAACCAACACGCTGACATGCTGCGGAGGGCATTCGGGTGGTTTGATCTCTATCTGTTCACAGTTGCTTAACACATACGTACGGCCTCATGTGGAATACACAATTCAGGCCTGGCAGCCCTGGCAAAAGAAAACTCTCGCAGCGCTCAAAACTCCACAGCGAACAGCCACAAAGTACATCAAAGTGTTGTTCCATCTTCCTTATCAACTTAGGCTGAGAGCACTAAGGTTGTACAGCGGCTGATATCGGCGCCTACGTGGCGATCCACTACTGGCCTATCAGATTTTGAGGAACCCCAATCACCTCTACCGTCATCTACTACAACTCGGTCACAAGACGAATTTGAGGGGCCACCGGCTCAAGTTGGCCCCAGAATACAGTCGGCTAGAATGTCGGCGAAATTTATATTCTCTTCGTGTGTGCCCACCATGGAACGTCCTCCCAAATTACGTTGTCTCCGTCCCCAATGTATCTGTGTTTAAAAAACGCTTTGACGTTGCCTTAATCCACCTACATTACGAGATAAAGCCTGTGCATCTCGACTGGCGACATAATGTGACGAATGTTGCACGGCCATAATTAACCTGCACCATCGAGGTTGGCTCTTTTCTGCATTCCTCTAAGTGAACACTGGTGAGTCCGCCAAAACGATTTTCATTTTATCACCACTACCACGTTGTGGTTCTCATTCTGTCCATCCTACGGAACTTGTTAAGCAACTGCTTTTTTACCCATAATACACCACTGGTCTGTCTGAATCCCGGATCCTAGATTTGTCCCAGTGAATGAAAAAGCCAGGAATATTAACAACTGCCAGACAAGGCGATTCGAACAGTTTCCAAAATCTCTCGGACCCAGCCTTTTGCACTTCAGGAAATCGTACTTAAGCGTAACAAGGCGCCTCGGCCTAATGAGACCGTTGTCGTTACTGGAACACAGTGGTGCTCCGCTAGTTGATGGCCGCTCGATTGAAGGCCTTTACGCAATAATGTACTGGTAACCGTCGATGACATTGTACAAACGGACACCGAATTTTGCGTGATAGTCAAATATGAGCCCTATTGTAATTATCCCCTTCAAATGCGCCATCCTACTTCGGTTCGCTGCTACTCGGGGAAACGGGATCCAGCCAGGCATGGCTGACTTTCTTCTTGAAAATGGGCTCATTAGACCGGGTTTCTACACCAAAAGACTTTTGTTGTGATTGTTCGGAAGGGCGCACCAGAGGGTTTTCCTATCATGCCTTTAAATCGGCCATGCCGTTTTCACTGAACATCGTTTTTACAATATCCCTATGGATACATTAGTTTCCTCGAGACATTTCAACAGTGATCTTTGTTAAACTATTTCCAAGGTTACCACTGCTGTCCTTCGTTTAGTTTTTGGGAAAAACTCGATACTGCGCACTTAAAGATGAACCGTCCCGATTACAACACTGGCATTTCTCCAGACTGCAGCTTAACATTATTCTGTTAGGAAATGTTTAATGGTTGCTCGTTTACACTGACCATTTATTCAAGTAACATTTGTACACAGTGTCCTTTTCCCATCCATATAGATTTTCAGTTCTGATAATGTAATTTTAGCTTATCCGTAGTCGATATTGTATAGTGTTTAAAATGTACCTACCTGGATACGTAAATTTTATTTTGACTTGACTTGGTTTATACTGCGATCGATGGACTCTAGTGTAACACCACCGTTAGGGTTCACCATACCTACTTTATTTTTCCCCTTCGACGTTTCCATCAAAATAATCCTAAGCGCTTCTATCTCACACGTTTCCTTTGATGCAAAGATGTCACCAGATGAGGTATCGAAACCAAGTAGGGTAGTGGTGAGCCATGTGTAGATACTATTGCGCCAGGAATCAGTAGTATAAGGGCAATGAGCGAACCGGGTTGAAAACAGACTAAACCGACGTCCTAACACACGAGAAGAACGCTTGTGGGCCTCATATAGATGTGCGCGGGAAATACCAAAGCAGCACTTGATAAGGCTTGAACCAGGAGCACATAAGGCAACCTTCAGGAAGACGCTCACAGATGAGTGAAAATGTTGATTAGATAAATTGTATATGGTCCCTCTGTAGGCGCAGGCGTTCTGTGGCTGGCCATAGTGACAGGCAAATCCGGAACCGGATGCCGCCAACCATATGGTGAATGCTCGTCGTCAAAGTAAACCGTCCGCACCTCATGAGTCCAGTTTCAGTGCAAACGTTTTTTGAACCAGCTGATGTAGAGCACTAACCTTTCCACTTGTATTCCACACAAATTGCTGCCACGGGATTAGAGTGACGCGATATCAGGCATCAGCAGTATGCCGGCACACAGTATCGGTTATTCGCTGTCACGTAACCAGTAACAGTCGCGTGACGTAGTATGCACCTAACCGGTTCCCTCCGGATTACAAAGCAAACGTATTCGTCTCGGGCACCTGGCTTCTAGGATCAGAGGAAAAGCATACGGACTGGTCGATCAGTCCACATGATTGCACTAAATTAAGAAGGAAAAGCATCAGCAGTACGCCGGTATGTACAATGACGCTTCGCTGTCGCGAAACCACAAACAGTCGCGCATGGGCTAAGGATACTACGAGCGTCTCCCGGTACCCTACGCAGACTCGAACGCGCGATTTGAGATCCTTAAGGCCACGAACCGACATCATCTCTGGTGATCATCTCACCAGAGGATACTGACCATATGACCATTCAAGGCCTCAATCGTGAAGTTAGCGAATGAGTCAGAAGTTAGGTGTGAAACGCATTAATGCGACCTAGTGTTGTTACCGTACGTAACTGAGACACGGCTTTTCTTACTGTATACCTTGAGACTGATCGTCTACGCTTACCTCACTTGTACCTAGTGGGGACCATCGACTGAGCAATGTTGACGCCCGTCAGTCTCATTAAGACAAGCACTTGTCTACTAAAGGTAACCCGCTTGCGTTGACTAGGTGGGACAATCTGCTTGGGTGTATGTTGGTATTACACCCGGTTGGATGAGAGCCAAATTGTCCAGCTGATGATATGTTGAGAGCATATGAGAATTTCGGTGAAAAAGCTCGGTCAGGTTACTGCTTGGCGCCTCCACGGGTCGGCTACATTAGTGGTTACTGCGTCCAGCCTTCGATCCTGAATGCTGTGCTTTTGTTTTCATTCCTCTCAATTCCTACCCATATGTTTGCATTCTTAACCCCTCTGTGTCTACGAACCTTTGCTCATTACTAGGTCAGCTGGTGGTCGAAATGACAAGGCGTCTGTTTTGCAACCCAGAGGTCACCGGTTCGGGCTTGCGTAGGGGACCGGACGACCCGCGCAGTATCCTTAACCCTCGCGCGACTAGTGTTGGTCGCGTGGCAGCGAAGCGTCGGTACGATGTACTCCTGGCGTATTCTGTTCATTAATAGGATAATGCGGTGCCAGTCGTGACGATTGGACCCATCACTACTTGGCACCTAGATTATAGTCAAAATATCGATGCAACCACGACGAGGGTGGAAGCCAGCTTTCAGTGACTTGGTTCTCACGGGGACCAAGTAAGTCATCGAAGTATGATACCCGTGAGAAGTTTGGAGACAGTGGAGGTAAGGCTACTACCTCAGTGACTTCCATATAAAGTCCGTTTACTGTTTCTGGAGATGGACACGGCAGTTAACAACCGCCAAACTAAAGATAATTCCTTAGTGTCCCAAAGAGTGTTAAATAGAGCAGCATGTTCAAGTAACAGAGTTACCAACGTATTTCATCGAACAACCTCCTCGTGGTGCCAGCTGGGTGGTTCGGGATTTTCCCGTTCCAGCAAATGGTTCGGCGGCAGTGTTCCAGGACGTGGTGGGTTTTCGCCTGGCAAGCGTTCTCCCTATAAAAAGCCACATATGTCCGTTTAACAACACTGTGATGTGGCGGACGTGACTCGCCACTAAATAAAGTCACCGCCCCTTGCTTCATCCTGGCGAAGCATTGTATTCCAGCAACATCATGCTGTACTTCTGGGGAGCATTGGGCCCCTGTTTGACAAAGGAACAAACGAAAGGCGTATGAACTGAGCAATCAGTCACCGGCTCCCAATGGGCGCAATTCCCTGAATTCGCTCCGCTGCCTTGCGGACAGGCTATTCAGCCAAAGGCTCGGGGTGGTGTCCCCTAAGTCAACACCCTACTTCGGCTTGAGCAACCGGGTAGTATCTCGCCCTCTGAGAAAACCATGGACATTTTTGTGTTGTGTTTTCTTTTACTATTTCTGTATCTTCGTTTGAATCCCATGGTTTCTGATGGCATTATGTCTATTCGTAGACTTTTGCAAAGATATATATATATATATATATATATATATATATATATATATGAAGAAACGTCGTCGGGTCCAGGAATCTTCTTTCGTATAAACACGGTAAGCTTATGTCAAGTCTCTTCCAAAGTGGGAGGTGTGACAAATCGGCCCAGATGATTCGGCAAGCGGTAGTGTCGCAACATGCCTGCTGAACTGCACTTTAAAATTCTCCGCCCAGCGGGCTAATCGACGCGGCTTGGAATGGATGTACTGTCCGTCTCTCAGCTATTGTCTCGCTGAGGGCTTTCTCGGATGAGCTGGAATAGCAGTAGGCTGTTCTCAATAGCACCGGCTTTCTCCACTTCAGGAGCATTTGCCACTCACCAACATTCCCGGTCAATACGATACTTCTTGTCAGTTTTCGTTCCAGGGCATTGTGGACACGCTAAATTCAATACCCAACGGAACATGTTTCCGTGCTTTGATCAAACGGTTTACTGTCACGAAGATCCAGTCACAGCTCGCACATCTCTAGCTGGGCGTCAACAGGATTTTGTAAGGTACATTTGAGACGATCAGAGTCGGCGTTTGGCCCGCCAACCTCATTACTCACTGACGATTGGTGGGCGGTTGGAACACCGGGTGAGCTGTGCTGAATGGCGTCTGGCAAGAAGTCATCTAACGCCTCAGTGGGGTGTTCGCCAAGATTGAGCCGCTTGAGTTGGCCAGTCATGTTTCCTGTATACCCAATGACCACTTGAGTTGTATATGGTAGCTGCGCCAAGCTGGAGGAAACCGCAAGATAGCAAGCTAATGATATGGCATTAAAAAGCTGATCGAAAAACTTTGTCAGGCTGGTGCGTGTTGCGTCCGTGGGTGTGGGCCTCAGTATGGTCCACATGATTGGTTGGAGACGATCGGGCATGACGCAGTCGCGCAGCCAGTGGCACCCCTGCATTCGATTTCTCGCGTCTAGCTGCTAATAATCCGTGCCAATTAATTGTACTCACTGTTTTCTTATCACCTTTGCATTCTATCTACATTCAACTTCACTCTTCTCGCTATTGTTGTTCATTGTTATCTTGGCGACGCAATGGTAGCAACTGGATACACCGCACTTCAGTGCACGCATAATAAATTCTGAACCGAACTGTTTGTCTTCCCGACCTTTCTGAATCATTGGCAAACATCACACTTAGTAGCCAATATCTCCAACGTCTTTCGGCAATTACAGTGGACCGAAATCCAACCGAAGGTTATCCGTAATGACATGTTCTACACATGCTAAAAATGCTTGGAAGCAATGATCATATGTAGCAAAGTGGTCTGCCGCCAACGGAGCCGCGAGTGTGCATGAGCAACTGTGTCAACTAGAGATGGTGAAGTGTTCGTCCCTCACATAAATTGACGGTTGATTCTCAATCGGAACTCAAGGTCGCTGGGCCCCCCATAGAAGAGAGAAGACCGGATCGGACGGACAAAGGAACAGGGGTGTATTAGCCAACCACACCGTTCATTGTAAAAATAAAGTCGAAAATTCATGAATAGTATTTAGAGCTCACGTGGAAAGGGTCAACTTACGGCCAATCAAGGAATGCCACTCTAGTGTTAATTGGCCGCTTCACCCGGTTGGCTATCTGTTTGCCCCAATCAATGCGGGTGAGTTTGGCTCCTTGGCTCCATAACGGCGATGGGCGCCTCGATTGTTCGCTTAGCGTATCCCTTCTTTACAGATAGGGATAATGTGTGAACCAGACGTACATTAGAAATAGTGCAGAATGTATCCGTCAAAAGACCACAATTTACAATAGCGTTATTGAAACAAACAGGGAAATAACACAAAGAAAATGTTTGCTGGCATTGAATAGCCGTTCAGACGGAAGGCGCTACACTCCAGTTGTGCTTTGCTGTTTCCTGTACTCATATTCTGGAGATTGCGTGGCCGGATGGAATTTCAGCGAACGAAGAAACGTAGAAGCCAAACATGCGGAACTCCTCCGCACGTGCGTCAGTTCACTGTGTTTATACTCCCTATCCAGTATAACGTTAGCAGCTCGAGGATGACAACCAGTTCACTTGTAATCGTCGTCGTACTTCACAATGACAGTTGCAATTGGTTGTCAGTAGGAAAGGGGAACATAAGTGCGGAAGTGGCGTACGTGCAGGATTGTCCCATGTGTGCCACTTTTATGCCTATTTGTTGGTTGAATTTCGCTCCAATTACACAATCCACAGGGTTTGAGCATGATGAGCAGCACACTTCTGGTTACCGAGTCATTGGCGTTGAGTGAGTATAAAAAGTACAATCTAAACACAAAACAAACAATGGTTGCATGTACAGGGTATTGAAATATTTATTGTGTGACTAGACTTGCGGCGTCATTGTAGTGTTCCTTAAACCAAGTAACCATACGTTCTAGAATTGGGAAAAGCAAACGTCGGAATCGGAATCCTTCAGGACGCACAGAGAACATTTCAAAGTGAGGGGTTTTGTTCGGCATGTAGGCCAGCAAAAAGTAGCCGGGACGCTCCTTTGTGGCACTAAGGAAGTAAGGAATGCGATCAGGGTTGATATTTTTCTCCTGTTGTAGCAATGACGCCAGCAGGGTTCTATCGCCCCCCTAGGAAGGGTAAAAGAGAGATTTGGATAAACTGAAACCAGAACAATTGGTTGATACACGGTGGAGCACACCATAAGCAAGACAGGACAAGACGAGCTGAACTTCAGTACAAAAACACGGATATCAACATATAATTTTAGAGCCTTATATCAAATCGTAGCACAGATGCACACGTGACCTTTTGGACGGACCAATGTTCGCATTAAGAATGGCTGATCTCAAATAATGTCCCAGAAAAATAAGACCAAAAGCACTGATGATAACAAGAGTTGCAACATGAAATCAATGTGCGGGCGCCACCAGCGTGTAGTATTGTTAAAGGAGGTCGAGCTTAAATTCGCTTATTCTCACTGGCCTATCACCAAAGCTGCGGCAACAGACGGGACTTGTATTTTTCTGTGGAGCACAGAGACGCGTCTTAACCGGAGGTACCAATGGCCTCACTGTCCGACGCTCCGCTCAGTGGTTGGAAATGTAAACAATGCGTGCTGTCCTCGTGAATCTGAGGCCAATAACCAGATACTCACTAAAGCAAGTGGACAGGCGGACAAATTGTCATTGGGATAGGCGCGAGGTAAGGCCGGTAGTCCCCGAGTATATGCTAAAGCCGTCTAGACGAATAAGCACTTAAATACCAAGACGTGTTGCCACGGTTACTGTAAATGGATCCGCATGAACAATAACGGCGACAACTAATCAATTCAGACAGAATATGGAGTCAACGCGATGAAATTAAAGACCAATGAAAAATCTAGATTATTTTCTACCAAAACTACTAAAAAGTTTTACGAAGGCTCCAGTGAAATACATGGGCTGCAGCATCGCGGCGAGAATGTTCCTTAACCTGGTGCATACCTCCGAGTGTAGTTTTCTGTGTATGTTCGCAGCCGCTCATCTACATAAGTCATTGTTTAACGGTCAGATAAACTCACTCCCAACGTCCTTCCAAATGAAAGTTGAAGAGGTCAATTGCAACCTTACAAAAGAATTTAATCACAGGAGACGGTTGTATGTGACTTATAAGCTAGCTTAATTTGCGCATAGCACCACTACCACGGATTTCATCTCGAAGTGAGAGGCGCAATCTTTGCTCGCTTGTTTGCTGCAGACCGCCTCAAACTTCTTAGCTTCACTAAAACTCAGGACCGATCGATCACGACCGAAGCTGTCTTACAAGACGCATTCAAAAAATACATGTACTAAGCATATTACAGTGTTCAGTGAACGCTTACTACACCAGTATGTCAGCGTTATTTGGTACACACTCTGAAACACTTCGCCTCACCAATTCTCCAAGAACAAGGGACCGAAGGTAAACAATTGTTTTCGATGAATTCATCGTCAGACTTTTGCAGTCATGCGGGTACAAAAGCGATGAGAGTAACACTGGTTTCGAGCAGTTCAAATGAAATTAGATCAAGTGCCCACTAGGGGCATATTTCTCGGACACACCTTTCCTGAGTAAACAGTCCCAAAGGGCACATCGATCAACCGAATCAAAGGCACCTTTGATGTCGAGGAACACGACTACGGTGGGCCGCCAGTATATGTGTGACGGTGCTCCAACAATTGATGCAAAGTGAAGATGTGGTGGATGCAGCCACGACCCCGACGAAACCCGGCTTGCTCCTTACGAATCTGGCTTTCACGAGCGCCAGTTAATCTGTGAAGGATTACAGAGCAAGCAATTTGGAGGCGATTGATATCAGACTGATTCCTCTATGGTTCCCGCATTCCGAACGCGAGCCTCCTTTGAAGATGGGAACAATAACGGAGCGGCTCCAGTCGATTGGGACAGTTTCCTGCTCCCACAGTTTCACTAGTAATTCGTATAAATCATCCACAAGAGCAGGTCCCCCAAATTTGAAGAAGGCTGGAGGAAGACCATTTGGTCCTGCGGCTTTATTCAACTTCGACAGTCTGATCTCACGTTTGACTTCTGAGCGAGAGGGCGGAACCAAAGACAGCCCAAGGAGCAGGACGATTACAGGACGGACAGGAATCGAATAATTTCGGCTGATTAAATTGCTTTTCAAAATGCTCAGCCTAACGCTCCAAAGGTTTTGACAAATTGTGGATAGGCTGTCCACTCTCGTCACAAATTGTTTCCCTAACACCAGGTTTTCTGCTGCCCGTTTCCCGTATCATACGGAATAACTTTCGATGGTTACCAAGGGCAGCGGCTACTTCCATCTCTGACGCACGAAGAAACCCGCACACGGGCTGCCTCAGCATGTATTGTCTATCAGAACAATCTATGGTCACGCGAAACCCCTATAGCCGGTTGGTGGCGTAGCCTCCTAAAGCTGGCGCTTATCCTCTTTCAGGATTGTTTACCCAAATCGGTTTTACCAGCGAGTAGAACCCCCATATCAGATTTGACGCACTAACGAATTCGGTGGTGCTCTCGGAATGACCCTCTTATTTCCGGATTTTGCCTTCATCCTGTAGCAACTCTATTGTTTTTCTATGCGTCTAGGGGTAATCACCAGTTTCATCCACCGAGACTACATTTAGTAACTTTGGATAATTAAGTTAAGCCAAATGTGTCCGCAGATTTTTATTTCTATGAAACAGTCTACGTAACAAAATACTGCCTTCTTATCGCGGTGAAAACGCTGCACACACATCGCACCTTGCGGTCACAAGCGAGTGGCCGGTGTTGAACTGAGGTACTGCAATACATCACAAAAGTATAAATGGTGAATGATAATCTTGTGCCAACTCAACATACAAATAAGAAGTACTGAGGTACATTCAAGACACATCTAACAAGCGCAGACCGTCGGGCATAATTTATCGGAAGGCTAACTATGACCATGATCGCATATACGAGCACTTCGCATAAGAAAGGGAAAGCACAGCGTTGATTATGCGCGAAAGAGGGGAGTGGCTGCGATGCAAGTGAGTTACGTAACACACTCACCGAAGAGTCGCGATAATACCGATGGGCCATTACATCGCGTGCGAGGGAAGCCATCGGCTGTACATGACGAGCGACAATTTCATCCAAATCTTCAAATTCCTCGTCGCCGATGATGAGCAATTTGCCCAAGGAGAAACTGTTCGTCTTTTCCCGTTCGGTCACATCGATATGTTGAAGAATACCGTCATCCACCTTCCAACTAACAGTGAGGTGATCGGTGCCCTAAACAGTGAATAAAAATGACAAACAAGTAGTTGAGACGTTTTATGACGAATGGGGCTGGATAGCTTCTCGAGGGACTACGCTTGTGGCCTCAAATGTCCGACAGAGTGCGCAGATTTTAATGTTTAAGCGATTAGTGGTTATCGTTTTACTGCTTGATTACAACCCATGTATTGCTTAGAGTATACACTGCACTAACGGATAAAAATACACAAATCCCAATAAGCACGACGATTGGCATTGAACGGGATCGTATTATTTTCGCATATCGGGGCTGCATTTATGCCAAGTCGGGAAGAGTCACTGTCACTCGCTCCAATGTCCCTATGTACAAGCTGGTACGTAATGGCTGAATTCTTTACCGGGAGTTTATCTGCTATTCCAACGAGTGGCGACGTAGCATTCAGACAAAGAAACGAAAAGACAAGATGGTATATGTGCGTCAGCGATACGCGTAAAAGTCTCATCGTACTTGATAATAGCAGCAAATCAGAGGTTTCTGAGATGCTTCGCCACCAAACAACTATGAACGAAGGATCACATGTGATGTAAGGCGGTAATGCATAGAGCGAACACTCAAAGCCGACGAACTTACACCATGCAACCATCGCAGGATATCGAACGCATGGATATCAGGTGAATTTATGCAGCACCACCGAGACAACGATTTTGCGATTTTCACTGTATGCAATTCACTACAGACAAGTCTCCATAGGCTGTACGAACCGTTAAGTCTCGCCAGGCGGTCACGTACGCCACTGACAGCGGTCGTGCGTCAAGTTTTGCAGTGTCTCAATTCAAACACAGAGTGAACACGTGGATCCCAGTTTGGAAGATGAAGCCGAATAATGGCGTCTAGCATGTTAGGTTAAGTAATTTCCCATCTGAACACTACATCACACAGCATCGAATAAACAAGACAAAAATGTTCTCAGAGAGCAAGCGCACGTAGCACGGATTGACGTCGGCTAGTATTCGACTGCACGCCTACTCGTTACGGACACACTGATGCCATGAGCTCCGTAACAGTTGAGTAAGATGCACATGAAATGCCTAGATGCCTGTGAGAGGTTTTCTAGATAAGTACATCGAACAAGTCGGAGCGTACGGTAGAACCGACGAACATGGCCATGGTCGGCCTGCGGCACATGTGGCGCCCTACTAGTACCTGTCGTCGAGCAGCAATATGATATATGTAGCTTCATCCCAGGTAATAACCTGTCTAACCTTCTATCGCCTGGAGTTCCTGTTCCTCGGTAAAACGGTGAAGGAGTGCTGGTGCCAGTGACTCTCGCTTCTGACACCAGGCTGGCACAAATATTGCGACTGTTCTTGAATGCTGTCACCATTCGCCTCATTTGCCTGGAGCAGTCTGTTCTCATCATGTCTATTCGAGTAAGTAGGCCTACGCTTTGCAGAGGAACTCACTACCCGCATTAGACACGCATGGACGGAGGAATCCAGATCATCAGCACGAAAACGATTCACGACCGTGACAGCATTTTGAAACAGACATCGATACGAAGCCCATAAGTTAACAAAGCCTAGTTCAACCTAAGCCATTTGTAAACAAAGCATCTCAGAGAGGGGGCTAACTGAAGTGGTTATCAAGATTTTTATTACCTACTACTGTAGCAAAGGTGGACTTTAACATGACCCGATCGTTTGCATACCTCTGCGGTAGGTGCTAGAGCAGAGCCACAGGTACCACAGATCGACAATAGCCATATTCCTAAACTTCAAGAGTGTCTTCGACTCAGTCGACCGATGCACTTGCGTGCAAATGTGTTCCCATAAAATGTAGACATTTTACGTGTCTTATACTCGAATATCACAGGCCGCGTCAGCGTCTATGGTGATTTATCAGACACCTTTACGATAACAAGCGGCGTTCGTCAGGGTTGTGAAATTTCCCCATTTTGGTTCAACTTCATCGTGCACTCCATCATGGAGTGTTCCCTTACGGATCCTCAGGATGTAGGCGTTAAAGTGCTGCCTAGTGAAAACCAAGTTGATCTTCATTATTCGGACGAGATTGTCTTCCTTTTCAACGATTTTGGGGTGTCCCACTCAACCCTGAATAACCTCAAGAGTGGTCCCATCATCTGGCGTGCGCTTCACACCTTCAAAATGCAGTGTTGTTGCAGGACCACCGGTCATTTGACCCTTGATGACTAAGAGCTCGAGGTAGTTGATCGATTCATGCAGCTGACCAGCAACAAGGAGCGCATAACCACTTAAATCAGAACAGCCATCTTAAATCTGTGGCATAGGTGGTAGCAGAATGGGTTACCCTCGGTCTGGAAGGCCGTGTATAAATGATAGAATGGCCGTCTTTCTTCTGGGAGTGAGACGGCCCCTTCGGTATGAGAATTTGTGGTGATCTCAAGTCTTCCGTTATCGCTGTTTAGCGTGCAATACTGCAGCAGTGTATCCGCAATGATTAAGTGCATAGGTGAGTACCAGGCAGCGATAATCAAGAAAAAACTTCAGTGCGACAAAATAATCTCGACTAAACTGCTTTGGCTTGGGCATGTACTACTTATGACCGGTCACTGTGTGTTGTTTGTCAGAGGTAGGGTGGAGCAAAGCCCGAGGTAGGCAAAAGTTGACGGCAGCGGGAAATGAAGTCACTGACTGCAAAACTTGATGCTGTTGATCCGTCTTGCCTTCCAGACTGGAGTCTACGTGACCCGCCTTGTGCTTGACTTAAGACGCTACAGTCGACACCAGTGGCGCGTCTGCTGCTGTATTCCAGGTAAAGTGTGTGTGGTGCTGAGTTATCTGCGGGATAATGGCTGATTAGGACGCGGGGAAATGAAAACCAGAAGGAAGCTGTCTCGTTGATGCCGCCTTATCTTTTCACGATAGCCAAGTTGCTTGTGAGTGTACGTTGTTGAGAGGGTGCATACTTCTTGGCCCCGAATATTTGCTTATGGCGTTTAGCTTTTCGACAATTACATAGGAACCTATACCGATACCTTGTGGAAGCAACAAAATTCCTACTGCTACCTTCACATAAGTGGAACAACCCAATATGGTGCGCAAGCTGAACACTGTAAGGGTAGCGAATCCAATACCGTCGTACCATCTCCAAGAAAAGTGTCCAGAAATGGATGACTGCTGCCATGGAGGGGAACATCGAAAACAAGCAACATAAGTAAAATACTATACTCTACACGACAATGTGTCATTTATGATTGTGATAGGTAAGAAATAAGTAGAACGAATTAATGGGCCATGAAAATAATTCCGGGAGTATTTTGTAGAACGGTGACTTGTGACCATAAGCCCAATGAATATCTGCCCATACATTATCTTAATGTATTCGTCCCAGTAGCTCACAAGCTACATAGCACAGCCTAGTCCGAAAAAGAACCAGACGCGCGTTTCGCCCTGCTGGGGCTCGTCAGTGGTGTGCATTCTCTCGGTTCCCTACTGGGGGTCTGACCCATGACCGTTAGAGGCTGATGCCAACTAGCCAACAGCTTAAGCCACTGAGCTATGGGGGACGTCGGCTAGGCTACATAATTTACAAGCTAACTTGGATATAGCGCTGCCTATCTTCCACTGGCACGCAAGTTCCAACCAGTGCAAATGACAGTTGCTAGACTGAGTTCTGCCAAACTTAACATTATCAATCGGCCGGCCATGCTAACGTGACAGCTCTCTTATGAAAGAAAAGCCAATCGACTTTCTATGTTTCTCTCCGTTCCAACATCACTATATCCTTTGTTCAGCTTCGTCTCTCCTTAGCTTTTTTCATTCCTGAATTCTAACCGGCCCTCTTTGCATCGTCCTATTCTAGCATCACTTCATCTTCCGCTCAATTGCAGATTCCACATGCAAGTGGACTGTAAAGAGAAAACTCCAGCTAGGTTCGTTTAAGCTTTACATTCGAACTAGCTCAGTGCATGAGTTGTTGCATTCCGAAGAATAAGCGTCAAAAGAAAGGATTAGAGAATTATCTTCAAAGTTCCCCAGGTCACTGTTACTTTCTCTGGGCTCTTAAAAACACAGTCCCTAATCTTTTTACTTCTACCTGAGGTATGGGATTGTTCAGGTCTTCTAGTCTGCTACATATCCTGATCTGCGCACATTTTTTCAATCTGCTAGGCTACTCTGGAGTTTTCCTTTGTTCTCTATTTCACCCTAACCACCTTATTGACTGTTACGCATATATGATTTTTTGAAAATTTTCAATTTTAATTTTGTGCTTCAAGGCTAAATTTCCGCCGCTTTCTCGATTCATCTAGTTGGTGTTTCCAATTTTCCTCCATTTCATCATCGCACAATCATTATGGTCAACGTTTCACATCGGAATGGCTCTATCGAGTGTACCTGGGGATCTGATGAAAGATGAAAATGAACGCCATGAAAGCGTATATGGTTGGCAACATCCGGCTCCGGATTTGCCTGTCACTGTGATCTTCATAGGACCGCCACAGGATGCCCGCGCCTACCGAGGGACCATGGGTGGCTTGCGCTGCACCACCCGCAGCTGCAACCACCCACCCCATATCCAGTGTAAACCCGAGGGAATAAGACCGGGAGGCATGTGGATGAAAGCCACATTTCATCAACGGAGCCGACCCACACTCCCTCAGCATGCATAGCAGCAGCATTCCTGTCTGCCTATGTAGAGAAGTATGCGTACCAGACGTACAGAAGGTGGTGGCTGGGCTGTAGCCTGTTTCACACTGGATGGAACCACTCTTTGAGCCTAGGACGGCCACGAGGACCGTGCACTTCGCCCCCCCCCCTCCAGCAACGATTCACAGTGCCCTGGAGCTAGTAATCCAGGTGGAGGGTGTTAGATAGGTAGACACCTTGTCAACACACACATAAAGCGCAGCCACACCGGGGATATCAAACAACCAACACAGAAGTTAATGGAAAGCAAACAAGCAAAGTTGACAAAGAGTATGCAGCAGAATAATAGAATTGAACAAACCAAATAAAGAGGAATAACTTTATACAGATTAAAAAGATCTGTACAGCAGTAACGTGTAAGTCAGTGGATAGTGAGCGGCGCTATATTACATCTAGTAACTTATTCACGATGGTCGTTGCCGTCCCCGTAGCTCAGTGATCTCAACCACGGACTGCCAACAGTCGAGTTGCGGTTTCGAGCTCTACCAAGGGTCCGATGGAATGCGCACTGCTGATGATTCCCGAAAGGATGAAACGCGCGTACAGTGCTTTTCCGGGCCTGTGGCGGCTGTCTGAGTGAGCGTAGATGTGACGAAGTTCTACCTATACCATTCAACTCCCCCTACTACTCTTCTGTAATAAGTGTAACTTGGTTTAGCCCAACTGCGGTGAAGAAGCATCATGAAAGCTACATCAACCTCAGGTTGAGGGATGACGCTTCATCCATGTCCTCGTGTCTGCCCCAACCATAGACACTTCCGCATACAAAAGTAAGCTGTTAACGACCTGTGCCCTTCCTGTATACGGTTTCTCGATATCACGAAAACTATACAATTTATAATTTATAGTCTCCAAGTATAGCAGAAAAAGTCAACCTAGACAAAGAGCATAGCACTCACATAGTCTTGTGTGGAGTACAATGCAATAGAGAGCACTACTAGCTCACCTTTCTGCTGGGCCGGATGACGATGCTACCTGGCTCCATATCTGGTTCCATTAAAATCAATTGATCGTAACTTATATTCTTGAAGTAAGGATGGAATATCACTCTGGATAGATAGGAAACAGATTTTTCCTTGGCTTTCGCCTTCTCGGCTTCCTCTGCAAAAGCATCACGCTCCTCGGCTTCATAATCGTAGAACGGATCCGGTCGGGGTCTCCACATATGCCGCTCATCCTAGGAGAGAAGACGGGTAGGGAAGCAGAAGAGAAAGTTATACACAAACTAAGGATCTAAGCGTAGTGCTAATCAAAGGTTGAATAACATCACTCACTTTTAAATCTGACTTCTTGCAAGTCAGTTCTACGTTGAATTTGGTAATATCTATCTTCACGACGCGGCACTTTATTAAAGCACCAGGAAATGCTCTTTCGAACAGTTTTTCCAATGGAGGATCAGTATTCCTCAGAGGAATGAAACCAACAATCCCATTGTCAAACTCTACGCGGAGGCCAACAGCCTGACCGGGACACTCGTTGTTGTCAAAATGGCTCCATACCTGTAAAAAATGTGATCTGGTAGTAGAAGTAATCTGCGATCAGTCTTACGGCGATAACTAAATGATAAAGTGTAACGGATAGGCATAATGTCGCCAGTCGGCGCAATGTTTTACTAGTAGACGAGACACAAACAGCCATGTGAACTATCAGGTGTAGCTAACTTGTTTTGAGGTTATATAAATATGTGAATCGGATTACCTTTACACAGGTTATAGGGGTTCGTTCCTGGTACCACCAGCCCATCGGACGCAATCATTTAGGAGAAAAGGACGGAGCGTGGTGGGGTAACCATCCGTCTTACTCAGTGGATTTGAAGATCAACTGGCCGGCATGAGCAACGTTAGTGTGATAGCATAGATTAACCATGGTGGAATTAGAGTGCTCAACCGCTAAAGCCGATGAAGGCGCCAGCATGAATAATTGGGAATATACATTTTCAGCCTGAACTTATAGCTAATTCGTATAAATACAGGGACAACAAAATTTTAGATCGAGTGAAAGTGCCTCAAGTAGCGTCTTAACCAAATATAAAGAGGAAAAACTGCGGACATACCTTTCCCGGACAGATGGAAACAAGGTATTTGTCTTAATCGTGCTGATCAGTTGCTTCACAATTTTTTCTTTACACTTGGATAAATCGCCACTTGAGGTACTCTCGCTCGATCCATCGTTTTGTTGTCCCCGTCGGTTGGAACTAGAAGTCCAGTTTGAAAATTTACATTCCCAAGTATCTATGTTCACGAGCTTGTCAGCCTTAGCGGCTGAACATGTTAAACCCATCACATTCAATAAATGCTATCAGTACCCGAAACACAAAGCTAAAGTCAAGTATATGTTGACGAATGCGGATCGAGTATATGCTGTTTTGTAGTCCGGATAAGGGAACAGGGTTCGCTCTGATGGAGAAATTCAACTATATCGATAAGCTGAATCTCATCTTCAGCGATCATTCCAAATTCCGAAAGATGGAGAAAGAGAAAGACAGTGCGATCGAAAAAACGGTTACAAAACTGTTACGTTGCCTGGAACAAGTGAACACGATTAGCTCCGTCGTGTTCGGATACACGCGTCTCTCAGGGACAGTAGTTCCGGTCTTTATTGTTTACCGAATGTGAATAAAAGACTTTACTGAGGCCCATATTGGTAATGTGTGACTCTCCATACCACTGAACATCAAAATGGCTCACCAAACTTTTAGAACTGGTCAGGAAAGTTTTATCTGAACACAGCCTCAGGAATACTTTCAACTACGTATACCCTATAAGATATACGGAGTTGACCTGAAAGAAAATGCTTTCGCTAGAATATAGTATCACTTTTCACCAATATGCCGCTAAAAGACGATAGACTACCTGTATGATGCTGTTCGATCGCATTATGTGAACGTCGCCTATTGTGCTTCAAGTTTACGGAAAGACCTATAGACAGAAGGACGGAGTCACAATGGGTTTTCCGTTGGGGACGTTGTTAGCAGATGTAATTATAATTAAGCTCAGTTCAGTTGAACAACTATGATCTCAGCACCGAAGTGCGGTGGATCTAGTTGCTACGAATCACATCGCAAGAATAACGATAAATAACAACGTCAAGATAGTGGAGTCAAATGCAAATAGGAGGTAAAAAATGGAACCAAGAAGCAAGTGCATTAAATTAATCAGAATAAAGCGGAAGTTAACAACTAAATGCAAGAAAATGAATGCAGGAACCCCATGTCTGATACGGCCTCCAAACATTGGTGTGCACCATCCCGAAGCGTTCATCCCCGAAGACGGCACGCATCAGCCTGACCAAGTCTCTTAAGCAATATCTTCACTCCAATGTGCCACGTCATGGAGTGGCCACCTCGCGGTTTCGACCAATTTAGTGCAGCTACGGCGAATAATGCACGCCAAAGAAGCCGGTCAACAAGCATACGGAGGACATAGCCTAACCAAGGTAAGCGATTAAGATTCAGTGAACACTCGAGTGAGGAACCAGAAGGCTTCTTGCTAAAAACCAACTGGCAGACCTCAGCATCGCTCACTTGGTGTTCTCAACAGATGTGAGCACTACTCCGCAAGCACCGGTGGTCAAACACGACCAAGCGTTCAGTGTCTTCGTCGCGAACTGGCCAGGTCTCTGATGCATACAGTAAGATCGGCCTTACCACTGCGTTGTGCACCTTACCTTTCACTGGCAGGCTGATATCCCGCCGTCTCCATAGATGTTTGAATCTCTGAAAAGTCACATGGGCCTTGATGATACGCGAAGTAATTTCTTCAGTGATGTAACTACCAGAGGTGACACAGCTACCAAGATAAGTGAACCGATCCACCACTCCAAGTACCTGTTCGTTAATAGCTAAAACCGGTTGCGTGTCAGCCAAGTCCTGCAATAATAATGTGCACATTGAAGTTGAAAAGCATATGCCGAAGTATGCAGCGCTACGCGTCAGTCCATCCAGTAGTGTTTGCATAGCCATTGCATCAGACCCAAGGAGAACTATGTCGTCCGCATACTCCAGATATGTCAGTCGATCACCTGGCAGAACTTCCACTCCAATAGAGTCTGAAAGAACAGAACCATTTGTGATCGGTTCGATCAAAAAAATCTAAGAGGAAATGAGATATACGACAGTCCTGGCGAACCACATTTGTCGTGCGGAACTTAAGAGTTTCCCGTAAGCACTTACACGGCCTCGGGAATCAGAGTAGAGAGATTGCACAATGAAAAGGAGTTTATATCTAGTAGGCGCATTATGGATAGGCAGTGACACAAGCAGACGCGGTCAACATTCGAAGATGGCTTTCAAGTCAAGGAAAACCACCATAGTCGGTCGCTTGTATGTGTGCCTCCGTTCTGAAACTTGGTGAAGAGTAAATACGTTGCCAATAGAACCACGACTAGGGCAGAAGCCAGCCTGGTTTTCTTTGATTCTGTTCTCACGGGGACCAGTACGTCATCGAGGAATGATACTAGTGAGAAGTTTTGGAGCAACGGAAACAAGGCTAATGCATCGATGATTTGCGCACAAAGTACACTGATCATTCTTGAAGATGGGCACGACAGTTGACAGTCGACTGCCTCAAGACACCTGATCATTGTCCGGAGTCGCGAGTCCAGACAACAAAGTATCAACATCATCACTCAGAAGAAGCTCGCCTGGTCCAGGAGCCTTATTTGGTTTCAACACGGAAAGCTCCAGTCAAATATCTTTCAAAGTGGAAGTTGTGACACTAACTTCCCACGTCAACCCAGGCGATTCTGCAAGCGGTAGTGTCGCAGCACGCCTGTTAAACTGCTCTTCAAAACGTTCAGCCCAACGAGTTAGTTGACGACGCTGAGAATGAATCAACTGTCCATCTTTCTGGGTTATTGTCTCGCTAATTAATCCTTTTCTCGGAACCGTGTTCCGGATGAGGTGGAATAGCACTCGGCTGTTCCTAATAGTACTGGCTCTCTCCATCTGACGGGCCCTTGCCATCCACCAACGTTCTCGGTCGGTTTGAAGACTCGTTGTAAGACGTTTCAAAAAGTTACGAACACGCTGAAACTCAGTGCCCATCGGAACCTGTTTCCGTGCTTCAACAAAGCTGATCGATACACCTCAGATATCCATTCAAAGTTAAGATGTCTCAAGTTGGGTGCATAACATGCGTCATTTGAGAGAATCCCAGTCAGCGTTTGGCTCATCAACCCTGTGCATCACTGACAATTGGTAGTCCACTTCGTCGTGATATTGTTGGACTGCAGATTACGAGTTTGTTACAAGTAAGAAGGTTAGAAGATAGGCGCTTTTCTAAAGCGAGAAGAGTGGGCGCCAAACATGTACGCACTAGAGCATGGTCAGAATTCAGACACGTGCTCTAAATTGATTGACAGTCGCGCTATGTGCGCCATCTGTAGTTGGTGACAGTATGGTCAATTTAGGTCCCGGTCACTGAAGAATTCGGTGGGCGCCAGGGGACGCGGTGTTAACGTTGTGCTGGACAGCAGTGCTGCTAACGTGAAGATTGTGGTCGGCGTACACTTGCAGGAATCGATCACCATTAGCTGTTCGGCGTGCATCGACTGCGAAACGCCCTCCCAGGTGCTGTTCAGAGTATGAAAGACGACCCACTTAGACATTAATGTCACCAGCAACAATCAGGATGTCAGTATTCTTCGCCATGCGAAGTGGGGAGATGTTGGTAAAAAAAAGTCTTTGATACCGTCAGAACCGCATTCAGTAGGGACATAAATTGAGGAGATGGAAAGGCCCCTTGTCTTCAGAGGATGCTTATTAACTCCAGTTGACTTCGAAATCAAGCCGCACATGCGGCTGTTCACCGGTATTCAGTCGAGGAAATTGCCTTCGGCATGTTTGCCGACGGCAATACCAACACCGTAAAAAGCTGGAGTCATTGGCTCAGTTTTGCCAGAGACGCGAAGAGTGTAGCCATCGTCGTCAGATTCAGAACCAGGAAGTCAAAAATTTGTCACGACGGTTATTTTGTATGTGTATTCGGGAAACAACAAACATCAATAACAAGGGGGTGAAAAGTGAGAGTCAGTGTTGCCCACTGACCAATCTGACCTATAGTGCAGACGTTTGAAGAACCAATGTGAGATAAAACTTTAGGTCTGATGGAAGTGCTGCACGTATCGATAGTAGCAACTGCGAGGTCAGCGGCAGATAACAGCTCAATGGACGAGGAAGAAGAGAGGGGAGAAGAAGAAGAAAAGGATTATTACTGATGTGGTCGAAAGGGTAGATGATACTATCAGGGTGCCCAGTCAAAGAGAGGAGTTTTGTTAGAGGTGCTTTATCTCTAGCCTTTGACTCAACCGTCTGACCCACAAGACAATGGGGTTTGCTTGAGGGACTCCATTCGGAGCCTTTGGTTCAATAGCCTGACCCATAAAACAGTGAGGAGCAAGTCCATCTCAGGAGTGTGATTGCAGAGACCCATTGCTACTTTCTTGAGACCTGGCACACACAGCTTTCGAAGATTTAGAACAGTGTACACGTGTTTCACGC